TTCATTTTTTTTAGCATTACAATGATCCTCAACACACAGTTAATGCAGTAAAAGCATACACAAATAGAAAAATAAAAATACACCATGAAACACTGTCAGTCATGGATTGGTCTCCCCAGAACCAGACTTTAGCATTACTGAAGCAGTGGGAGATCATCTTGACAGAGAACAGATCAAAGGGTACCCAACATCCAAAGAAGATCTTTGAAGGATCCCGAGGACATGACAAGAAATCTTTCCTAAGAGAGTTCAGGCTGTGTTGAAGAATAAAGGTGGTCATACCAAATATTAACTTTCATGCTTATTAGAATTATACAATGTCAGCTTTTAGCTTGTATACTGTATTCCCTTGTGTTTGTTTGCCCATTTTAATAAATAACTGAAAAACTGTGCGGTAATTTTCTTTGCAAAATATAAAGAAATAAAGATTGGCTCAAGACTCTGGCACAGTACTGTATTTTAATGAAATATCTAATTCCAGGAGGTATCCTTGTGTCTTAATTTGAGAACTGAAGCTCACAAAGAAATTCAGAACAAACAAAATTACCCGACTGTTTCGTTTGTGATGTAGGATAACAGTGTGAATATTTTAAGGTTAAACAAAATACATTTTTTACTCCAACATTATCATTGCTCTGACATTTTTATAGAGGGAATCTGCTGTTTACTTAATATTTAAATGGTTGCAGTCCTAACAAAGCTCCCATTGGTCCTCTCTCGCAGATACTCCCCACTTCATAACATCTGTGTACCAGAAGGCAATGGGGTCCAGTACCCCGCTGTGCTTTTGCTGACAGGTGACCACGATGACCGGGTAGTGCCTCTGCATTCCCTCAAGTACATCGCCACTCTGCAGCACATTGTAGGTCGCAGCCCCAAGCAGACAAATCCCCTTTTCATCCTTGTGGACACAAAGTCAGGCCACGGTGCTGGAAAGCCCACCAGCAAAGTCATTCAGGAGGTGGCTGACACTTACGCCTTCATCGCTCGCTGTCTCAACATCTCTTGGGTCAAATAACCTGCATCTACCTTTTAAAGTGTGTGGGGTTTCTCTTTTTTTCTTTTTTTAATCCTTTGGTCAAACCATATTTAGAATACCGTTAATACCAGAATACCGTTAATACCAGATGTTGACACATTGTTTATAGCACTGCTACCTTTTCTTTCTTTTTTTTTTTTTGTGCTGATCTGTTTTTGTCCCTCCCCCTGTGTGAGCAGATTAGATCACAGAGTCATCAGGCTCTGCCCTGCACACAAATATAAGCCAACATGCATCTCTCACACCTGTTTTGTGTAGTCACAGGGGGCTCTTTTCAAGGATGATGCAGTAATCAGCCAATCAGCCGTTAAAGTCATGAGGTGAAAATAGCAAAAAGTTCATTTCAAGATTGTTCCTGCTCCCTTTGGGTGCTGCAACATGATGTGTGTGTGTGTGTAATTTATTTCTGGATTGTGCGCAGAATGGAGTCTATTTGATGTCAGATGAAATCAGTACATACAAATGTTAGTGACAGTATTACACGGATGACGGTACTGCTGGTGGATGAAATGAAAACAAATGCAAAAAAAAAATCAGTTGTTTCCATGGGAAAGTGTGTGTGTGTGTGTGTGTGTGTGTGTGTGTGAGAGTAAATGTCAGTCCTTACATTAATTTCAGACTGATGATTTCTACCTCTTGACTTGTGCTGATTGTTTTCCTTTTCAAAGGGAACAAAACACAATGCCACAAATACAATAAATAACTTTTTCAACAGTGACTCATCGGGATCTTTTATTATTTGTGTTTTTTAACAGCTACGCACCTTCATTTAGTAAATAAAATTACACTAGGGTAACAGCTCAGGATAAAAATATATGAAATTTGATTGTCCAAATTGAGGAATAATTCTCCGATCCAAAGTGGCAAGTTTGAGTGAAACAAATGAAGGCAGTGAGTAAAAAAAAATTTTTATTTGAAATAATCTTGGACAAAGACAAATATTTTGCTTTCTATTAAAAATATAATGAAATAAGAAGCGAGTCGAGAACCTGGGATATGAATCGGTCTGTTGTTCCCTTTCACAGACAAAGAGCAAGTCAGAGCGTCTAGATCGAATCTTGAGTCCATGTGTGGTCTTCCACCAGGGGGCAGTCACGCTGAAAGTGAACAACGGGTATAGCAGCAAGCACAAAATGAGGGTGGTCTCACAGAGGGAGCCATGAGGATTAATAAACGTACATGTTTCATGTTCAAAAACCTCTCCGATGTCCCACTTTTGGTTTTCATAAGCATAATCAGTCACACCTGAAACTTTTATAATCATCTCAAACACCCCATCATCATCCAGCTGACTTTCTGTGACCGCGCCTTTAGTGAACAATACATTACAAAATAGCAAGAAGTTGAGCTTCATGATGACTTTTTCATCATTTATGGGTTATATTTTTATTTTTTTAAATGTTTAAATGCATATGAGTTAGTATGAAAACATGCACAAATTTCCAAATTTCTTTTATCTAAATTCAAACTGGTGTGCACCGTTACATTACATTTTTCACAACATTCAAATATTCTTCTATTAGAAGTGAAGTTAAAAAAATTAAACAAATTCAAATGCTTTGCAAAAATGTCAGTTTCAGATAAACATAAATCTGAAGACAGAAAAAATGACAGTTTATATGTTTCATTTCTATTATTTTAAACACCCAATAAACATTAACGATGGACATGAAAATAATCGTGGTTTCAGATTCAGATCATTTTGAATGTAATTGAATGAAACGTGCTCAGTGTTCCAGCAAAACCAAATTACTCGTCATGTTATGAAACTAAAACAGTCGTGAAATCTGACGCCAAGAAGATTCAATTTTTCTTTTAAGTTTTGAGAATGTTTTCTGACACAACACTTCAACACTGACTCGCTTTACTTAAAACCAAATTATACCGCCTGTCTTAATACTTTAACATCTGTTCCAGCTC